ACTGAACTTTATGGAGGTATTTAAAATTTTCACTTCATTATAGATAAGAAGAAAATTGACTAGAACCTAAAATAGCTATTAAGTCCCCCCACCCCAGGCGAAATATCGTTCCAATTCTATGTCCATCATGCTGAATACGGTTTTTTGATTGTTAATGTTGTCATCTAGCTGCGAAAAATTCATATCCTTGCTAACATTAGGGCTGAATTCAGCTAAATTTTTGCAATGACTATGGCTCAATTAAGCCAATCAGAAGCCTGTATTTTTGAAAACATATCGCATTTTGCGATACGTAAAAATACAGGCTTCTGATTGCCCATATTTGTCTATCCTAATTGCGAAAATTTAGCTGAATTCCGTCCTAGAAAGCCATGGATTCGCGAAATATAGATTGTGTTCAAAAGATAGATTAATGAAGAAGCTAACATCAAACTGACGGATTTCTCATTATACTTATATTTTGCTTAAAAAAAAATTTCATTCAGGAAGGAAACTTAAAATAACCTTTCCATTAGATTTAGGGATTCCCACTGATGTGGGGGTCCGGGGCAACTGCACCGTATGCCCCTTCTTTAGTCAGGCTCTAAATATAATATAAGCTCTAAATATAATATCTAATATAAGCTAAATGCTAAGTCAATCAGAAAATTCCATTTTTCTCACGTCTCTCCCGAACGATCTAACTGAAAATTTTTTAAGAATTTTAGGATTGAGGATTATAATTGTCTCCTACAGCCGCTATCCAAATTTCAGGACGACAAATCTAATGGTTCTGGAGCTGTGAACGAAGACACACACGCCCACAGACAAACACACACTCACAAACTCTTTCTCTAATTATTATCGAGATGGTAGATATTCCAAAATTAAAATAGAATTTTTGCATTAAGTAAGCAGATTTGTAGAGTTGTAACTTATTATTAAAGTAATTTTGTAGAGTTGTAACGAAAACAAAAATCGAGTAATAAATTTATGTATTTTCAAATAAGAATATAAAAGTTATGGCACTTCGTATTGTTAATGACTTATGAATAAATAAAGTTTAGGGGAATTACAATGCAAATCGAAGAAACTGTTTGTATGAGCAGAAATTGAAGAGCAATCGACATACATTTAATAGCTGTCCAAAACAACTGTATTCTGAAATAAAAACGAAATGACTATTTCATTTCACGACCAAGAGAAAACCAAACATCCGCTCAATTTTTTAAAGTAAAGAAAACCAAACATTAGATGAAGATATTTTATATTTTTATAACAGTCGTTGAACATCCGACCCAGCTTTTGGGATTACGACTACTAATGTTCAACTCCATAGCCTTCTAATTTTGAACCCAATCCAGAAGACACCTGGATCAAATATTGGGAGAAATTTTATACTTTGTGGAGGACTTTTTGAGGGAGCTAACCCGCATTTGCGCTATATGGTGAATGAAGACCGCGAGAACCTCCCACGGTTAACCTGACGGCAAAGGGACTTCAACCCATGGTTCGTCTGCCACTGAGGATATAGCACGTCATCACTGTGGTCGGTGCAAGTTAGATGCGGATTCGTCTCGACTCGTCATCGCCGGGATTCGAAACCGGTTCACCTCATTGGAAGGCGAACGCTCTATCCATAGCTTATAAATTTTCATATCGTACCGTTTCTTTTTGTTTCATTTACAACTCCATATTTTATGTAATTATTCATCTCAATACCAGATTTAGGAGTAACATATTTTAATTAATGACCACTTCTGCGCAATATTTCTTCCAGACTTAAAATTTTTAGACTAATAACATTTGCGCAGTGCTTGTTTCCGGCAGCAAAATCATAACATTAAAATTTATTTTATGACTTGTGAGAATACCCATTCTCAGTACGGGATGAACAAAAAAAATCAATCAGCAATGAACATCACTATGAAATCTTCCACAAAGCTGAAAGGAATATACCCACGCAATTAAAACAGCTACATATTTATTATAAATTGTTATCCTTCTCGGTGTACTACTACTAGTAAAAATATTTTCTGAAACTACGGGAAATACGCTTTGAAATTCTTTATTAAAACTGTGCGAATTATGATAATACCATCAGTAGAGCGTAATACCAAAATTTAACGTCACATGCATACAATGATTTTCTTGATTCCTCCGAACGAATGAGTATCTTTCAACAACGGAACATATTACACATCTCGGCTTCTGGAAATATACCTAACAGCGAAAGAAGATTCACACTGTATGTCAGATTGTTTTTACATGCCTACCTTTAATAATCTATCACATACATGAGAAAAGATAAAACAAAAAGCAATACTTATGTTTAATGATTTATAATCCATTTTTAACGATCAGTTTTTGTCTTAAAATAAATAAATAATTAAGCTAGGCAATCACAGTCCACCTGTTCCGAAACACATTAAAAATTTTAACCATCTCTTCATGCAGCATTATGGAAAGAACTCCTCTCGCCATTCGTCTGGTGCAGAGGCGGTGAGGAGGTTTACTTATTTCAATAAAGAGTGTTGGGTCACTATCTAAGACAGGTTTAAAGAGAGAAAGGAAATCAGGGGAGAAAAAAGCACCCTCTTGTGATAAACTATCTCTGCTATTTTCTGGTTTTCATTATTTCCATTACTGCTATTTTCTGGTTATTGCACTATTAACTAAGCAAAGCTTTGGACTAATGAATAAGCGTTATGTGATGAAATGTTTTTTGTTGCTTTGTTATACTGACAAACTTTGTACAGGAAGTACAATTTTGATTATCTATAAATCTAAATAATTACCTATTTATACTTATGTGTTTTGTTTTCATATTTATTATTATTTATGAATTTATATTTATGTATGTATAATTGGCATTATCTCTGATGATAATTACTCGGGTAATGTGCCCACTTATTAATCCTTGCTTTTATTTCTAGGCTACAAGGACCAGAAGGCATACCACCTCAACGATCCTTACCTCATGATGAAGTGCCACTTCGGCCTCAGGCACCCCTGCCAACTGACACGATTCCATAGCAGGATACGTCTTTGGACTTTGTCCTAAGGGGAGTTCTTTAAATAGACAAACTATAAAGTTGCTGTCTCGTTTCTCCCTGTTCCCGTGATCTTTTGCACCGTGCACACATTCGTTTTGTAAAATATAAGTATAATTATTATTTTAATACATTTTTATTGAAATTTATTATTTGGAATTCCTAATAACACATTTGTTCTCTAATTATTTTCTTTTCAATTTTTACAGAACAAGTTTTGACCTTTTTTCTGATGGGCAAGAGTGATAACGTTGATTGAGCGATTGTGATTGTGATAAACCATGATTCAGGTAAGAATTTCATTCTCATGTTCCCTCAATTTTAAGATCTCCTGTTTCACCCAACAATTAAATTCAATTTTCACTTCTCAATAAAGATTTAAAGGCAATTTAAGTTACAGTAATACTATTTATGTTTTTCAAAAAAACAAACTGTTTACGCTGCAACCTGTTTTTTTTGCTGCCTTTTTTTTCTCAAACTGCTGATTTCAAAACACATGTTTTCTTAAACTTTTGCTCCAATAAATTTGAATTTTGATGCACACAATCTTTTTTCATTTTCTTTAATATAAGAACAGTTTTATTGCCCAATTAGTTATTCGAAAAAAAAACTTTAAGAAAATTGCGTTGCTTTTATGTCCCTTTCTAAAAGTTCCTCCAGTGACACCTTACAAACAGAACAATTTTTAAAATGTTTTAAATCGCAATAAAAATGACAAGAAATCGTTAACTTTCATTTGACCAAAAATTCTCGCTTATTTGACCGCTAAAAAATGCCCACGAGATTTCGATGATTTTTGACAAAATAACCGAAAGTTTGAATTCAATACCAAATTTAGAAAATTGATATCCCAATAAATGTTTCGTTATCCCTCCACGAAATAAGATATAATATTTAAAAACTATAGTAATTAATATATTAAAAGATATAATAATAATATTCCAAATTAATTTTAGCTAGTTTTCGACGGAAGAAAAAACAAGATTAAATTTCGCCTCCAAATTTAAGCCCAGCTTACAACGCTGTTAACCCATATAAGGTATACTTTTGCACTAGTCAAAAAAGTTTTAGATTGAAAAAAATTTAGCTATGTTTTGATTTAGAAAACACTTCATTTTTACTTCCATACAGTAGCCCGTGGCAGAAAATTATTAGTTCATATTAATTTGCCTAAAATTTATGTTATCATCCGCAAAATGATCTTACCTAACAAGAGCAAACTATAAAACTTTTCGTCCTTGAAATGACAAATTTGAATTTTGCCTTCAAATGCTAGTCCCCATGCTAGTAAACCTTTATCCGTGTCTTTAAAATGTTCGTCCATTGTAAGCATTCCTTAGTAGGGTAGTAATAAAAGTTGGCCTCTTCTTAAAGAGTCAAAAGATTTTTTCAAAAGAAAAACAGTCCTTTATTTAAAAGCTAAATTTTATTGGCTCTTTTAATTTTTACCTTATTGTTTTATACCTATGTGTATAAACATATTGTTGCATATAAACATAACTAAGCAAAGCAATCACAGTCCGTCTTTTCAAAATACATGAAAGACTTACTTAAACCATCTCTTATACAGTCTGTCTATGGAAAGAACTCCACCCGCCATTTGTCTAGAGCAGAGACGGTGGCAAAGTTAAACTATTTCGAGTAAGAGTGTTGTGTCAATATTTAAGATAGGTTTGAAGAGAGAAATGGAATCAGGGAAGAGAAAAGCACTCTCTTGTGATAAACTATTTCTGCTATTTTTCTAGTTTCCACAGCATTAGACTGCTTTAGACTTTGTTCTAAGGGGAGTTCTTTAAATAGACAAACTATAAGTTGCTGTTTCGTTTCTACCTTTTCCCGTGATCTTTCGCGCAGTGCACACATTCGTTTTGTAAAATATAAGTGTCGTTAATTTTCTATTAAATTTTTAATTCAATTTTTTGATTTGAAATGCCGATAACCACATTTGTTCTCTTATAAATTTCTTTGCAGTTTTTATAGGGCAAGTTGTGGCCTTTTTTTCCGTTAGGGAAGAGCGATGACGTTGATTGAGGTACAACATGTGATAAACCATAACTCAGGTACGAATTTCATTCTCATGTTCCATTCATTTTAAGACCTCCACTTGTTCCGACCAAATATTTAGTTCAAGTTTCACTTCTCAACAAAGATTAAAAATACAATTTTAGTTTTGTTTCTAGCTTCAGTAATACTATTTATGCTTTTTTGAAGGAAAAAAAAGTGTCACTCATAATTGCTGCTACCTGTTCCTTTTGCTCCCTTTTTTTCTTCTCGCTTTTTTATTTTTTTATTTTTTCTTCTCTCTCTCTCTTTCTTATTCTTCTCTGGCTTTTTTTTCTTATCTGCCTTTTCTATAAAACTGCAAATTTCGAAACACATGCTACACATTTTTTTAAACTATTGCTCCTATAAACTAGAATTTTGATTTACACAAATTCTTTTTTCCTTTCATTAATTTAAGAAAAGCTATTTCGTCCAAATAGTTATTCGAAAAAAAACACATCATAAAGAAAACTGCATTGCTTTTATGTCCTTTTTTGAGAATTCCTTCAGAGACGCCTTACAAACAGAACAACTATCTGGCATTTTATAAAATGTTTTAAATTGCAATAAAAATTATAGAAAATTGGTAACTTAAATTTGATCATCAAAAAGTTTCGTTGGCTTGACTATTAAAAAATGCCCAACACAGGTTTTCACTGATTTTTAACAAAACAACTAAAAGTTTCATTTGACTTGACGAAAAAAAAAAGAAATTTAAATTTCGTCGCCAAATTAAAGGCCAGTTTATGACATTGTTAATCCACAAAAAATATTCTTTGATCATTTGTCAACAAATTTTGGATTAAATAAATTTTAACTATATTTTGAATAACAAAGCAATTCATTTTTACTTCCAAACAGTAGCCCGTTGCAGGAAATTATATATTAAATTATTACGCATATTAAACTGCCTAAAACTTTTTTATTCCATCCGTAAAATAATATGTCGCAACAGGAGCAAACTATAAAACAAAATTTTTGTCCTTGAAATAAACAATTTGAATTTTGCCTTCAAATGTTAGCTTATAGTGGTAAACCTTTATCCCACCAGAAACGCAAACCACTCTGCATAACTTTTAATCCAATGATCGGATTTTTACGTTTTAAGACTCTCAAACTAAATGCTTCTCAGGGATGTTTCCCAGGTGTCAAACATGGTAATTTGTGTGGACGATATTTTAAATTACGAAATCAGAGACAAAAACGTAGTTTTTCTGAATAAACATAGATGTTTTCTCAACAGATTTGAATTTCTGATAATCAAAATATAGAGGGTTGCCGCGATCTTTCCCGATGTAAAAATAAATTATTAATAAGATTGTAATAGTTAAAATTTCTACTGTGCAAATAAACTTTAGTAATAAGTATATTTTTCGACTCAATTTTTTCTAAACAAAATGTCTTCCCAATTGAAGTTATTTACTTTTTTTAACGGTACTTATTACAAAAATGGTTAAAATGTGAGTAATATACAGTAATTCATTTGTTTGTGCAATTCACCGTACTTACTTTAAAATCAGCCTAAAATATTATTCTAAATATATTATAGTCAAGTTTTAATTCATACAATATTCCTGTTTAAGCAAACATTTTTTATAAATTGTGCTAAATATTTTTATCAGGAATTTTTTATAAAAATCATATATTTGTTAAAAGTACTAATTAAAATATATTTGGTTGTAAAAACTGTGGGAAATTGATTATTATAATTTCAAGTAGTTTAAAATTATTGCTCTTAATGCTTCTAAAGTTTACACCTGTTTCTTCAATAAACTAACGATTTTCAAATTATCATATAAAATCATACCAAGTAATGTACAGTGCACCAAAAAAAAAGGGTATGACCCTGGATAATTTTCGTTCTAATAATCGGATATTCATATAAGTGTCAAATTTAATGGACCATTTTCACCTTTTTCCTGCCGCTCTTAACAAACTGAATTACAGCTATAAAATAATTTGTTTTCTAAAACTCTCTTGATATATCTTATCTTAGTATTAACCCTTTGCTGTCGTATGTCTACTCTCAGCCACCAACGCTTTTTTACCGTTCCAGACGCATGTCTGTCTGCTCTTAGCCACCCCAGCAAAAATGTTAACCATAGCTTAATGGCCAACTATACATATAATGCGGCACTGTGAAGATGTAAAGAGTAAAGATTGTTCTGAATGTTCAAACAGAATAATCAAAGGCGGAAGATGCCNAACGCAAAATGATGGGCTTCATCAACAATCAAAAATATATACATTTATTTTACAAATTCCATATTAGGGTGGCGCCATTCAGAGAATTAAAAATACAAAATTATCTTCATCGAAGCCGATGCTTTACACCCGGCGTTCAGTGGCAGACTACTATTTCATATTGTTTAGCCCTTTTGTGGGAAAGACTTTAAAACAAAACTTACAACAGTTACTTTTCTAGAATAGTGTGATTAAGAAAAATATGTGAACTGTTTGCAATTTCAAATTTATATTGGAATGTACAGGTTTAGAATTTTCTACAGTGAAAAGTTTTCGGAACTTCAGTGTTCAAAAAAGTATACAAAAGCTAGACGTTAAGAACGTATCCAATGAGCGAGTAAAGCGAGCATCGGATTGCGAAGCAATCCGAAATGAACTGCGAAAGCAGTTCCGGGGGTTGGCGAGCACCAGCAAGTAGGGGGCGAAGCCTCCTAGTAATAATTAATTTGTTTCTGCAATTCACCCTACTTACTTTAAAATCAGTCTAAAATATTATTCTAAATATATTATAGTCACATTTTAATTCATACAATATTCCTGTTTAAACAAACATTTTTTATAAATTGTGCTAAATATTTTTATCTGGAATTTTCTATAAAAATCTTATATTTGTTAAAAGTACTAATTAAAATATATTTGATTGTAAAAGTTGTGGGAAATTGATTATTATAATTTCAAGTAGTTTAAAATTATTGTTCTTAATGCTTCTAAAATTTACATCTGTTTCTCCAATAAACTAACGATTTTCAAATTATCATATAAAATAATACCAAGTAATGCACAGTGCACCAAAAAAAAAGGCATGACTCTGGATATTTTTCGTTCTAATAATCGGATATTCATATAGGTGTCAAAATTAATGGACTACTTTTTTTCCTTTTTCCTGCCACTCTTAACAAAATAAAGAAATAAGTTTAGCTTCTTATCTAATACTTTTAATAAGTTTAATTGTTTCTAACAGTTTCAGGTTAATTGTTTCTAACAGTTTCAATGTTACGTCCAAACAAATTAAATTCTGGGTTTAATTGTCACGTTTCAACTGATCATAAATGAAACATTAACATTCTAGTTTTTTTTACGGAGAAATAAAAGAACGATTTCAATTGGCGATTTCAAAAAAAAAAAAATATATTTAAATAATTTGCTGAACATATTAATTACAGCTATAAAATAATTTGTTATCTGAAAATCTCTTAATATATCTTATTTTAGTATTAACCCTTTGCTGTCGTCTACTCTCAGCCCTCAACGTTTTTTTACTATTCCAGTCATATGTCTGCTTTCAGCCACCACATCAAAGATGTTAGCCACAGCTTAATGGCAAACTACATATATTGCGACACTGTTGAAGATGTAAAGATTATTCTGAATATTCAAACAGAAAAATCAAAGGCGGAAGATGCCATACTAATTTTTTTTGCGACACATGTTCTCGAAAACCAGGGCTTCATATTGATGAGCGCTTTAAAAATATCATACGATCTAGAATTGTTAAAATATATTTTTTACACAAAATTAAAACATATTGTGTTACATACATCTAAAGTTTAAAAAAGAATTAAAAAGTTTTATTTTTCCTTCATAATCTTGCATTCTTGCATATTATGTAATGTTCGTTCAACGAAAATTAATTCCAACCAGTATGACATCCATGTATAAATTTAATACGACCGCAAAGGGTTAAGGAAATTATAAAGTTAAGAAAACAATTTTTTTAGATGGTTCTAAAAATTGTAGGTTTTTGGAATCTTTTTACAATTTTCTATTTTTAGTGTTTGCTTTTTCACAAAATAAGGCATATCGAGCATTTTCCTGATATAAAAATTTATTGTTCTAAAGGTAAGTTTTTGACTTTAAGCAAATTTTTTCAGCATTAACCTTTTTAAGAGGGCAATTTCTTAAAATTAGCGGGCGAGAACAAGTTTGAACATAAAATTGTATGTGCACAATTTTTCGTTCATTTAAGGAACAAAGCAATCTGTTGTAGTTTTTTGATGTGCACACATACGCATTTACTTTTTGTTCATTAAAAAATAAGAAACAATAAAAAAGACGATTTACTTTTTTATTTTTCGAGAAAAGTACTAGCGGGACCGGAAATTAGTGCCGTTCTGTCGCAATAAATATTTGTTAGTCTTAAGAACCTTGTTGCTAGAGAGGGTGAATACATCATTAATTAAAAATAAATCTTAATAACAAATATCAAGCACCGAAACGACATTACTTTCCGGTCCCTCTAATAGTATGCTTAGTAACTAGCATAGAATAGCTGTTTAGCATAGAACAGTTTTTATCAGCAGAATATTTAATTTCTTAACAAGATTTATTTCCTAGCTAGCTGGTAATAATTCTAAGTTTTCATTTAATGAAAACTTGACAATAATTTAAAAATGAATTTTACTTCAAAAAAAATCTAAATTTAAAAAAAATATATTAGTATTTTAATAGAAAAATAATATACTTGGTAGCGTAAAGAAAAAGATTTTGAGAACCGTTAAAATTTAATTAAACAATTGGTAAAATAGCTCTGCGAAACACACGCGTACAGGTAATTAGAAAATTTATTTTAAGATTAAGACAATATGTAAGATGTTGAAAAATTTTAGGATGCTTAAAAATGTTGACTACGTATTTGTATGAATAAGTATAAAATATATACTTAAGAAATTGATAAATATATTTTTCCAAATCTATGCATACGTATGTATATTATTAAAATTGTATCAATTATAGAAAAAAACAAACTAAAAAATAAAATTAAAAAAGCTGATGA